CGGCCCGGGCGCCGCCGGCGCTTTGAAGGCCGCAGGGCCCCTCCCCCGTGCCCTGCCCCTCCCCGCAATTGGCCCGCGGGCTGCGCGTTTGAGACCCCTGGTCTAGAGCCATCCTACCCCATGCTTTCTTACAAGAAAATGTAATCAGTATTTCACAATTGATCTCTCTCCCCCCCGCCCCAGTAAATCAGATTAAGTTTGCAGGCTCCACTTGTAATCCACTCCTTTCTTTATAAAATGCTGGAGATAGTTCCAGGACACAGCCTAGCCCTTTGTTATTAGCTCAGCAGAAAGAAGCCCCGGTTTGTGACATTGCACAAGTTCTAACCGCTATTACCCCACTACTGTGCTTTTGAGTGGCTCTAAATAGCGGACAGGCTTCACTACATGTATTGGCTTGAACTAAGTGTTCCCCTTGAAATGAAGCCATGCTTATTGCTGCCAAGGCTTTTTAGGTCTCAGCTTGTACAAGCACCATAAGGAGGGATGGAGAAACTATGTCCCTCCACATGTTGTTGGATTACAATTCCCATCAAGTCCACAACATGGCCAGTGAGTGGGACAATAGAAATGTAGTCCAACAAGATCTCTGTCATAGTGGGAGGGCTAAAGAATTCCCCATTTCTGTTATAGTAAGAACTGAAGTTTGCCAAAGTTTTCCTGAAAAAAAGGCCTTGCAACATTTGCTGCCAAAGGCTGTTTCCTCTGGTAGGGCTGTCCCTGCAGCAGAAAGTGGACTTCCAGCTTCTTGCTGGCCCAGAGTTGTGCCATAACATTTCTATTAGCAGCAGAAACCTATCACTTTGGCTTTTCATTTTTCTTCTCCACCAAGTCTCTTACAACAAACAGCTGCCAAACTGGCCATTGAAACTGCCAATTTTCAGAGGAAGTTTTTGTTCACTTTTGGCTGTCTCCAAAGACTCCAAGTTTGTATTCACTATGCCTTCAAGAATGTGTAAGAAATCTTCTCAGAATCAAAAACCACGTACGTGGGAAATTCCAAAATTACTCAACAAAATCAAAAGCAGTGGGGGAAGATAAACAAGAAGTGTTTGTTTACAAGAGCTGAATTATTCTGGTGTATTTCAGATAAAATGAAACCTACTTCAGGGATATTCATAGAAGAGAGATACAGTGCTTTAAGATTTAAATATATCCATGTATATTTATACATAGGGATATAAATCCACCATGCTTAAGTCAATACAGCCATCTTGATAAATAAAAAGTAAAGCTATAATAAAACCCCAAACCTCCAAATGCAAAAGTATAACATATAGTTCTTAACATCTCCTAGGAAAACAATATACTTACTCAGTATAACCTACTTTGATAGACGCTGTTATTCTATCCCCTGTATTGCAATGAATCAAGTGGAAGTTGAGTCATTATATCAAGTCCTAATTAGAAACAACTGTTTATAGAAGCTACGTTTCAAGGTCAGGAGACCAATTAAGGCCAGAAGGTATCATTGTATTTAACCTTAAAATCCACCTGTCTTCTTTCTCACAAAGAATTTTATGTATCCTATTGCCCAGAAATAACAATCACTAACTCAGATTTTTCTTCTCGATATTGTACCAAAGTTGCTTAATCAATTCTTGGTTTATTAATAGATTAAATGCCCTATTCTGATTTATTTTTTAATTGCTTTGTCCATTTATAATTTGCTACAAAGCCAAAGTATGGGACTTCAGAAACCTACTCTTGCATGTTGTGAAGTATATCAACACACATTCCATCCCATCAGCTGGATTTACAAAGTGTTTTAATCTTCAGCAAGATTCATAATATTTAGTGTACATGGGAAACTTTAGGCTTGATCCTGCAAAAAGAATATTTATTAGTGGCTTTTACTTCACCATGAGAAATCCTAAATTAAAGACTTAATCAGGTGGGATTTTTATTATGTTATTTTCCTAGATTTTTAAATGGGAATTCCAGCATGAGCTTTCCTACCTGCTTCCCAATGTTTCTGAATCTGCTTTCTTTCAAGTAGGCCTATAGGTTCCATAGCAACCCACCCTATCCAAATTCCCACAGGATCAAATTGCATATTACTTTAATATGTTGTTACCACCCCCCCCCCCATTTCAAAATAAGCACAGGACCATAGTGTGGGGGATCAGGGAGTTTAATCCTTTGGCTCATGCCTTCAATCTACATTACAATCAGATGCTTTTTGGGAAATATAAATGAAGGGCATCTAGGTAGGGGCCACAGCAGGTGCAAAGGGTTAAAGTCTCCCTGCTCTTCTCTTTGTCCTAGTATCCCAGTTCATGGAGAAACTTGCAGTCTGTCCTTCTGAAGCTGAATTCCATAACTAAAGAAATAGGGAGTGAACTCAGGGTGCAGAAGAGTTCAACCTAGGAAATCCCCTCCACCTGTGTATCCAAGGCATGCCCAGAGAGATCCATTTGCTCTCTAGTTGCAGAGAAAGGGCCACGTTTTCCCCTGGTACAGCACCAGCTGTGTCCAAAGCCAGCTTCCCTACATGACTCAGGTCAGCCCATGAACTCTTTGCATCCCTCTGCAGTGCCTCAGAGCACCCTTTGCTGGCATGATGCATCAAGATGGGATTAATGGGTGGGACCTTCTGTACTCCACAGCTTTTGATACCATTGACCACAGTGCAATCCTGAGCTAGCTTTGCAGGATGGGTATCAGGGGCATTGTACTGTAATGGTTCCACACCTACCTGAGAGCCAGTGTGGTGTAGTGGTTAAGAGCATGGGACTGGGACTCAGACGATCTGGGTTCTAGTCCCTGCTCAGCCATGGAACCAACTGGGTGACTTTGGGCCAGTCACAGACTCTCAGCCCAACCTACCTCACAGGGTTGTTGTTGTGGGGAGAAGATGGAGGAGGAGATGTAAGCTGCCTTGAGCCCTTTGTAGGAAAAAGGCAGGATATGAATCGAAATATAAATAAATTAATTAAATACCTATAGAAAGTTCCCAACGAGTAGCATCTGGCTCTGAGCCCCAGGCACCTGTTCCCGGTATGGTATTTGTTCCCAATATTGTTTTGTATAGCTATGAAGCTATTGAGAGCTGTCCATAGGATTCTGGAGTGCCATCTGTGCCAGGAGTGCTCTAGTGTTATGAGGGAGAAAGCGTCACCCTATTGACTTTCTCCACACTGTGCATAATTTTGTACATCTCTGTCATATCTTCCCTTACTCACCTCTGTGGTATGCTAAACAATCCAGAAGCTGTAACCTTTCCTCACGGGGGAACTGCCCCAGACCCTTGATCTTTTGGTTTGCCTCATTTTGTGCATTTTCCAACTCTACAATTCTGCTATATGTATTTATATGGCACCATCAGTCTGCATACTGCTTCACAGAGACAATGTCCCCACCCCAAAAGAGCTTACAATATGGAACAAAATGGAAATAGAGGAAGGAGAAAAACAAAGAAAGAACATGCTTGTATTTTGGAAGTTGTTGATTCCATGTATTCCAAATCCATGTATTCCAGACTGGTTTCAGCACCCTGGTGGATGCTCAATGTAGGGGGAATAAAGACAGGGAATACAATCCCATTGGTTCTCCTGGACTTCTCACTGGCTTTCAGTACCCCTGGCTGTGGCCTCCTTTTGGGCTGTCCACCTGGGTTGGGCTTGGGAGAGGCAGTGTTGTGATGGTTTCAGTCCTTCTTGAAGGATTGATCTGAGAAGGTAGTATGGGTTAGGGTTAGGGGTCATGACTAGAAGCCCAAGATGCTCTTGGAGTACAAAGGCCTGTGCTGGCTGCAAAAGGTCCATGATGCCCTGTATGCTTGTGAATATCTTCGTGAAACTGCTATTTGGAAGTTTGTGCTGAGGTGGCAGCAATATGCCAGTGACACTCTGCTCTGCCCTTTGTTTCCATCTACTCATCCCAGGGAGGCTCTGGTACTGATGTCTGGAGGCAATTTGGGGAGGAATAAGAGTGAATAACCTAGAGATATTCTGGGTAGGGAAACCGGCTATTCTTGATGGAGGCTTGCAGCCTGTGACAGATGAGTTGACACTCCTCTTCAAAGACCAGATAGGCCATTTGGGATTTCTCTTGGGCCTGGCACTTAATGGGGAAGCTCAGATTGGAGGAGTCATCTGGAGTGCCTTCGCCAGCCGCAGCTGGTGCACTAAGCAGAACCCTACCTGGAGAGTAAAAGGCCTCACTTCAATTGCCCATGCTGAAGTGACATCATGACTGGATTACCATGATGTCTTATTCGTGAGTTTGCCAGTACAGGGACTTCAGATAGTACAAAACAGGTCAGCCCAAGTTCTGATAGGGACTTGATGGCCAGATCGTGTGTCCCCTCCAGTTGTATTGGTTTGCCAGTGAATTTTGAGACTCCATTTCACAGAATCATATAATAGTAGAGTTGGAAGGGGCCATGAAGGCCATCAGGTCCACCCCGCTGCTGTTGTAGGACACCAAGTTACGCCATCCCACTTGTGCAGTGTCTTTTGAATTTAAAATGCTGGCATTCACCCTTAGGTCCAGATTACTTGAAGGATCATTTCACCGATATCAGCTTTCCCACACTCTCTGATCAATACTGGAAGCCTAGTGTAAAAGCAGACAGGCGGGTGTGCTGAGGGAGAAGGGTCTTCTTAGCATTGGCTCCCTCCCATTCTAATAATGAACATTTATTCATTAGGTTTCATTGTGGATTGCATTACTTACATTACATTACATTACCTATAGGTAAGTAAATAAATAACTTTAGGGTACATGAATAATTTCTCCCCCTTAGAGACTTTATGAAGGAAGTGGATTTTGAGGAAGATGAGGATAATTGTCACCATACAGGAGCTCTGAAAGAGCAGTCTTCAAGAGGAGACCAGTATACAGAATGTTACAACAGTCTGACTTGGACTTTTCCAGGAGATAGGCAAGGATTGCCAGATCCACTCTGTCCAAGCTTCTCCTTTACCTGTTATCATGATTGCTAGAAGAGCCATCTTTCCTAAGTCTGGGCAAGGTCCGAGAGAAATATTTTCCATAAAGAATCTGAATTTGTGGGGCACGGTGCTAGGCAAAGGAGGACCCTGAAATCCCCTGGGAAATATTAGAGGTCTTGCAGGAACCATTTGTCAGCCCAGATGCCTCTGCTCCTTCCTGGCAAAAGCCATTAGTGACACTATCTCATTGCCCCCATCCAGGGACTTTAGGAAGAAAAATGGCAGACATAGAGGGCAGATCTGAGCAGAGGCAGCTTGTACCATACCCCTGAATTTCATCTCCAAAAATCCCCCCAGTGCCCCTTCTTCTCTGGCTTGCTGATAAGTCTGTGAAGTTGGAGCAGAAATTTCTGAGCAATCCTAGAAAATTGTTTTTTTAGCAGTAACAAAGGCATAACCTTGCGTTGACAAATAATCATTGGGCTAACCATCCCACAAAAAAATAAAAAGACACTACCAGGGCCCTCCTGCCTCCTCTCCCAAGGTATAAATTCTTGCCCCTGACCTCATACTAAGTTTCCAAAATGTAGCACAGTGGAAAAGCTCCTGCCTTCCAGCCATGGGAAGGAGACGGAGAATACATTCATGCCCACCTTTAGCCCTGAACGAACCCCAATTCTGTTTTAACATTATGATCCAATGCTTTGCACAAAATGTTCAGCACTGGCAAAAGATGCTCATAAAGGATTGCTTGTTTATCTTGCCTTCAGTGCAATTTTTACATAGTCAATTCTGATTGGCTATGTAGCATCCAGGCTCATTCTATTCATTATGTGATTGGGCAGGACGGCTCAGGTGATCCATCCACAAAGAAGCAGAGCAAGAACAGCTTAGGCTTGGGGGCAAACTGAAAAAGCAGCTGCTACCAAAACTTCTTAGGCTTTCCTTTCTAAGCTGCTTAACTGGCTTTTAGCAGAAATCTCTTTGCTACTGAAAGTGGTAGTTATAATCCAAAAATATGTCAAGGAAGACATCTGGAAAGGTTGATGATGTGACTTAAGTGATTCTGTTAAAGGTCCCCTTGGCTTGCACAAAAGTAACATTATTTACTCCTGAGTCAGTTAATAGCAGAGTGTATTCCCAGACCAATCTAGGCAGCTGTGTGTGTGTGTTTATTGATTGGACAGTTTATAAAACCCTGAAATAAATCAATTAGCAAAAGCTCTCAGAATGGTGCACAAAAAGTTAAAAGCTGTCTAAAAAACATAAGATACATATGTTCATATCTATGGGACAATTAAACATGCATTAAAGCAGGGATCTCAAACTCAACTTACCTGGGGGTAGTCTGGGTGAGGCTGGGCCGCATCAAGGATTCCACCACCGCGGGGGTGGTGGGCCGCTCATCCCGCGTCGCTCCCGGAGGCCGGCCGGGCGCCGCCGGCACTTTGAAGGCTGGAGGGCCCCTCCCCCATGCCCCGCCCCTCCCGGCAATTGGCCCGCGGGCCGCACGTTTGAGACCCCTGCATTAAAGTATAACATCATAATCAACAATAACAATAGTGATAATAATGCATAACACAAAAGTGATACCAATTCACAGAATGCCAGTGACCATATAGATAGAATCCAATATAAAATCAAATAACAATATCAAGTGTAAAAATGTAGAGAAAATAAAAAGGGTTTGACCTGGTGCCAAAATGTATAGTCAGTGCCAGGAACAACTCCCTGAAGAACTGGATCCATAATTGGGGTGCCACAGCCGAGAAGACCCTTCCCCTCTTGGCCACCTTCCTTACCTCTTTTAAAGATGGCTCTGGAGAAGGACCTCAATAGATGACCTTAGAGTCAGGGTAGGTGTATATAGGAGGAGATGCTCCTTTAGCTATCCAGGCCCTAAACCATTTATTTATTTATAAAATTTGTATGCCGTCCAATTTCTAATGTCTCTGGACAGCTAACAGCATAAATAAATTGACAACCCACTCTGGCTGCAATTAATAAAATACAATAATACAATTCAATATTAAAACTTATTAAAATATTGATTAAATAAAAAGGTCTTGACCTGGCACCGAAAAACATATAATGACAGCGCCAGGCAGACCTCTCTGGGGAGCGCATTCCATAGACAGGGTGCCACTGCAGAGAAGGCCCTCCTCCGGGTACTCACCCTCCTAATATCATTCACAGAAGATTCCCGGAGGAGGGCTTCAGTTGCCAATCTCAGGGGGCAGGAGGGCTAATAGGCACTAGGCATTCCTTTAGGTATCCTGGTCCTAAGCTGTTTAGGGCTTTATAGGTAATTTAGGGCTTTATACATTAATGTGAACACCTTGAA